AACACTTTGGCTCAGCATATTTACACACACACACATGTACACACACACACACAAGCACACACATACGCATGCACACACGCACACACACAAGCACACACGCGCATGCACACGCATGCATGCACACGCACACACACATGCATACACAGGGATGTTAGGAAGTATTTCTTCAGTCATACAGTTGTCAGCAAGTGGAATAGCCTAGCAAGTGAAGTAGTGGAGGCAGGAACCATACATAGTTTTAAGAAGAGGTATGACAAAGCTCAGGAAGCAGAGAGAGAGAGGATCCAGTAGCGATCAGTGAAGAGGCGGGGCCAGGAGCTGAGTCTCGACCCCTGCAACCACAATTAGGTGAGTACACACACACACATGCACACACATGCACACACATGCACACACACACACGCACACGCACGCACGCACGCACGCGCACACACACACACACACACACACACACACACACACCTTCTCTCTATTTATTTATTTATTTATTTATTTATTTTTTCCAGAAGTTAATAGCAGTTTTAGGAAAGCGTCCAGTGACTATATATGTGTATATATATTATAGGGGTCGTCCTCGAAAGGGTTGGAGAGAGGGGGTAAAGGAGGTTTTGTGGGTAAGGGGCTTGGACTTCCAGCAAGCGTGCGTGAGCGTGTTAGATAGGAGTGAATGGAGACGAATGGTACTTGGGACCTGACGATCTGTTGGAGTGTGAGCAGGGTAATATTTAGTGAAGGGATTCAGGGAAACCGGTTATTTTCATATAGTCGGACTTGAGTCCTGGAAATGGGAAGTACAATGCCTGCACTTTAAAGGAGGGGTTTGGGATATTGGCAGTTTAGAGGGATATGTTGTGTATCTTTATATGTGTATGCTTCTAGACTGTTGTATTCTGAGCACCTCTGCAAAAACAGTGATAATGTGCGAGTGTGGTGAAAGTGTTGAATGATGATGAAAGTACTTTCTTTTTGGGGATTTTCTTTCTTTTTTGGGTCACCCTGCCTCGGTGGGAGACGGCCGACTTGTTGAAAAAAAAAAAAAATATATTATAGAAACCAGAAGAAAGGAAGGAAGACTGAGATGAAAGAAAGAAAGGAAGGAATGATGACACACGACCATTTACCTAGGATAACTACCTACAGTGATTATGTATGAGCGAGGTGAAAGTGTTGAATGATGATGAAAGTATTTTCGTTTTAGGGATTTTCTTTCTTTTTGGGTCACCCTGAGTATGTGGGAGACGGCTGACTTGTTGAAAAAAAAAAATACCTAACACAACTGCCTGCTACTTATATGAAGAAAACTGCTCAGACGATGTGTTTTGTCTGTGCCCATACAAAAAAACGCAGACACTCGTTTTATGTGTGAGGAGTGTAAAACACCATTGTGTATGAAACCATGTTTCAAAGATTTCCACAAGCTGCAGAACTTCTAGGAACATGTCCAGTGAATGTACATTTGTTTACATATTATTGAACAATAGTAATAAACAATTTTTTGTATTGTTGGTTTGTATAAACAAGTTTTGTTAATATAATGATAATGTTTGTGCGGTTATTATGTTTCATGCAATGAGTGTATATATGTACACTGCACCTTGCTTTGGTCTCACGGGCCACATAAATTACTTGGAAAAAAAAATACTGGAAAATACAAGAAACCTTCAAATGGAAGTAAATACAGTGGACCCCCGGTTAACGATATTTTTTCATTCTAGAAGTATGTTTAGGTGCCAGTACTGACCGAATTTGTTCCCATAAGGAATATTGTGAAGTAGATTAGTCCATTTCAGACCCCCAAACATACACACACAAACGCACTTACATAATTGGTCGCATTGGGAGGTGATTGTTAAGCGGGGGTCCACTGTATAAGTGTACCAGTTGAGCGGCATTCACCACTTTTGCCATACACAGCTCATTTTCTGCCAACTTTATGCCTCTATATCTTGGTAAGTATGGATCACAAAAAAAATTTATTAGGCTTAAAACACTCAGTAAATTAATCCTAACATTTGGGTAAGAAAAAATAATTTTTTTTTGTTTCGAATATTTTGCAACATAAGAAGACTGTTTCAGAATTGGGCTTGCGACAGTCAGAGGGTTAAATTTACAGACAATGGCAAATAGATGCTCTTTCCTATGTTCACTTTTGATTTCCTCCACTTAAATACCCTCATAAATTCATTCACCAAAATTTGCAGCTTTTCTCCAGAAACTCCCCAAAAACCTGTCATCAGCAAAGAACAATTGAGAAAACTCTCACTTCTATCAAATTCATTATCTAACAATACCACACCTCTCCCCAACACTCTAGCATTCACTTTTTTTACAACCCCATCTATAAATATTTTTCCTGTATACCCTAACCTGAGCCTCACTGTATGTATAAAGACTACTGCTCTTAGTAACGTATTGCCTATTCCATACATTTGCAGCATTTATCACATTGCTTCACTATCCATCCTATCATGCCTTTTCAAAATCTATAAACAAAACAGAAAGTTCCTTAACTTTATCTTAGTATTGTTTACTTATTGTTTACTTACTTAAATTCTGCAATACAGTGGACCCCCGCATACCGATAGCATCACATAGCGATTAATCCGCATACCGCTTGCTTTAATCGCAAAAATTTTGCCTCACATACCGCTTAAAAACCCGCTCACCGATTTTCGTCCGAGACGCGTCCAATGTGCGGCCTGAGCCACGCTCACATGTTCCGCCGGTGGCATTGTTTACCAGCCAGCCTCCGCGGTAACATCCAAGCATACAATCGGAATATTTCGTATTATTACAGTGTTTTCGGTGCTTTTTCTGGAAAATAAGTGACCATGGGCCCCAAGAAAGCTTCTAGTGCCAACCCTACAGCAATAAGGGTGAGAATTACAATAGAGATGAAGAAAAAGATCATTGATAAGTATGAAAGTGGAGTGCGTGTCTCCGAGCTGGCCAGGTTGTATAATAAACCCCAATCAACCATTGCTACTATTGGTGGTACAGCTGCTGCTGCAGCTGCTGCACTGTCAGCTGCTGCTGCTGCTGTAGCATCGTCTGCTGCTGCTGTAACATCGTCTGTTGCTGCTGTAGCGTCGTCTGTTGCTGCTGTACCACCGTCAGCTGCTGCTGCTGCTGTAGCATCGTCTGCTGCTGCTGTAACATCATCTGTTGCTGCTGTAGCGTCGTCTGTTGCTGCTGTACCACCGTCAGCTGCTGCTGCTGCTGTAGCATCGTCTGCTGCTGCTGTAACATCGTCTGTTGCTGCTGTAGCATCGTCTGTTGCTGCTGTACCACCGTCAGCTGCTGCTGCTGCTGTAGCATCGTCTGCTGCTGCTGTAGCATCGTCTGTTGCTGCTGTACCACCGTCAGCTGCTGCTGCTGCTGTAGCATCGTCTGCTGCTGCTGTAGCATCGTCTGCTGCTGCTGTAGCATCGTCTGTTGCTGCTGTACCACCGTCAGCTGCTGCTGCTGCTGTAGCACCGTTGTTGATGTGGCTTATTGAGAATACCAAGAAACAATTAACCCCAGAGGATTGCCACCCAGGATAACCCAAAAAAGTCAGTGTCATCGAAGACTGTCTAACTTATTTCCATTGGGGTCCTTAATCTTGTCTCCCAGGATGCAACCCACACAAGTCGACTAACACCCAGGTGAACAGGGAAAAATGCCTGGAACTAGTGCTCATATTGGTGAATTTAAAGCCAGCAAAGGTTGGTTTGAGAGATTTAAGAATCGTAGTGGCATACACAGTGTGATAAGGCCTGTTTCTGGAAGAAAATGCCAAACAGGACCTACAGTACTCAGGAGGAAAAGGCACTCCCAGGACACAGTGTCTCATCAGTCATTGCTGCATCTTCAATAAAGGTAAGTGTCATTTATTCTTCATTGAGTAGACTAGTACATGCACAATATATACTGTGCATGTACTACTCTACTATTGTGCATGTATCCTTCTCTTTGTGTGTGGGAAAATGTATATTTCATGTGGTAAAAAAATTTTTTTCATACTTTTGGGTGTCTTGCACGGATTAATTTGATTTCCATTATTTCTTATGGGGAAAATTCATTCGCATACCGATTATTTCGCATAACAATGACCCCTCTTGCACGGATTAAAATCGGTATGCGGGGGTCCACTGTATAAACATTTTATATATTCCCCACCTCTCCTAGAGCCACCTTGTTCCTCAGGAATCCTGCTTTCAATAATCCACCATACACTTCACTTTATAGTGGTATTAACACACTTGTATGGGTATGAGGCATGAGTTGTGAATGTTGCAGCAAGGAGAAAGACTGGAGGCAGTGAAGATGTTGTGTCTAAGGGCAGGGTGGCATAAATATTATACAGAGAATTTGTAGTGTGGAGGTGTGGACTTAAAGGGTATATAAATCTGTAGTGAGGAGGAGGAGGAGGAGGAGGAGGAGGAGGAGGAGGGGTGAGGGTCGTCCTAGGAAAGGATGGAGGGAGGGAGTAAAAGAGGTTTTGTGTGCAAGGGGCTTGGACATGCAGCAGGCATGAGTGTGTTAGATAGGGGTGAATGGAGATGAATGGTTTTTAGGACTTGACAAGCTGTTGGAGTGTGAGCAAGGTAATATTTTGTGAAGGGATTCAGGGAAACTGGTTAGCTGGACTGCCTGCACTTTATAGGAGGGGTTTGGGATTTTGGCTGTTTGGAGGGACATCTAGGCTGTCGTATCTGAGCGCCTCTGCAAAGACAGTGATTGTGTGAATGATGGTGAAAGTGTTGAACGATGAGGAAAGTTTTTTCTTTCTTCTTGGGTCACCCTGCCTCAGTAGGAAGCAGCCAACATGTTAAAACCAAAAAAAAAAAAAAAAATAATGTAAGAAGGACAGTTAGCTAAGAATTTGACTAACTGTTTAAAGGGTTTTTATTTCTAATTTTTGTATTTTACACTTTACACTAGGCTCTGTCTGGAGTGCAAGTATTTATTGTTTGTCAACTATATAATTAATTTCTCACTATTTTTCCACTATTTAGGTGCTATCCTTGGAGGAACAGAAGCTGTCGTTCTTCGCTCTCTACCACGTGACCAATACATTTTGAATGATACTGTTCCTGATTGGTGTAATCTAGCTTATAACTCAAAGGATGAAAGTGATGAGAAGTCAGTATAACGTAGTGTGTGTGTATGTGTGTCCTTGCATACATGAATTTGTGCATGAGTGTATGCACAAGAGAAAGAAGAGAGAGACAGAGAGAGAGATAAAGAGAGCAAGCAAGAGAGAAAGGGCATCAAGAGAAAGAGAGTAAGTGAAAGAGAGCAAGTAAGAGCAGTACACAGTGCAGTATGATCACATACAGAAACCAAGCTGTGAGCAAAAAATGGACTCCATAAAGAACTTTCAGTAATTTTGTGGAAGATTTTAATTCAACAGCACTATCTTGCTATTAATTAGGGAAATGGATTTTGTTTGTCTTCATAATCTTATATTTTTTTTTTAATTGGTGATTGGGCTATAATACACAACTGTCGTAATTGGACACTGTATCATTGTAAAATTTGAGATTGCCTAATTGTGCAGTATAAACTTTTATAAAGCAGATCACAAAAATTGGTGGTATTCAGCTCAGTCTAAATCAGTTTTCAGTTATAAGACCATTGTAATTTTGTAACTTTTAAATTGTAGGCAGTGATAAATAATCTCAGTTTTTTCTGTTCAAATAAGGAGTCTTGTGATGTAACTATGATAATTGTTACGATCATTATGCAGGTGGGGCTAAGACCAAAGAGTTTACTTATAAAATATTTTTATTGCACAAAATATTGCAAAATGTCTTTATGCTTTGTACTTTCATGAAAAGCTTAACTGGGATTGCAGCAGTGATGCATTATAAAGTTTACAAAGGATACTACAATGTACTGTTATTAATCTAAACAAAATAAAAACTTAAGAAATTTCTACAGTGCTTATTTTTAAGGTGAACTAGTAGAATCAGTGTATTTTAACTGAAGCAATACAGTATATACAGTACTAAGTCAAGTAAGAAATTCTGTTTAAATAAAGTTTTCACAGTTTGTTAGGAATATCAGTGATCTTTTGTGATTGTCACCAGACAAATTACTTTATTCCTTGTATATTTAAAGGTTAACCAGAATAATTACATATAGCAGCTTCAATATAATAATGATATCTTTCATGTGATTTTAATTTTACCCTACAAATATATTCATCTCTCACTTTTATTATCTTGATAGCCCTATAAATTACTGTATATTAATACAGCTGTGGTATAAATTCTTAATGTTATACAAGTACAATATAAATATCATTCATATGAAATCTAAATGGAGTCACTAGGATTTGGTGTGGCACATTCTGAATAAGCAGAGTGCACATGTAATAATGAAGGCATTAATGAATTTATATCCAGCTATGAAAATAAAATTTTTGGCTGAGAAGAACCTGATGCTGTGTTGTATTATTTGAATTTTTGCAGGATATTACAATATTCATTTAAAAGAGAAGGACATGGAATTAGTCTTATATTAAATGTACAATATATACATTTTTAAAATCTATTAGCTAATTCTTAGAAGAAAGTAATATGAAGTTTGCCATTTCCTGAGATATATCATGGTGTGTTATATTCACTCTTATAGCCTGCATTATGGCATCATTACCTAATTCTCTACTCTTATTCACTTATCACATTTGCTCCCCCCCTCTCCTGTTTTTTGTTAAGAGATACACAAACTACAGATAGCCAAATACCTACTCAGCAGTTCCAGTTCACTTACAGTAGACAAAATTAGGTTCTGCATTATAAATGTGTGTCAAATTAGTTTGCATGCCCTAAATTCATAATTGGTCTGTATTGCCTGTTTGGAATTTCTTAAGTCTTATCAAATTTAAATTCTTAAGTTACTGCCCGATGAGATATTACAGAACTACTGAATAAATGCTTCATGCATTGTTTTAAGGCTCAAATGGTAAAAGTGCATCAAGTGCAGTGATGAATGATTTACCGAGAAATTTTTGTGCCTTGCATGGCACAGAAATTGGGCAAACGGTTATGGATAAGTGTATGGCGATGAAGAATCATTATTATTTACTAACTCGTTTCTCCTTCTGGAGAATCCCGTTCAATACAAGTGACATTAATATTTGAATCTGTTTGCATATCATTCACTGAAATCCACTTGCTCTCTGGAAACAGCTGGTCAGGGCACAGACCAGCATCTTCACTCACAGCATATACTTCATTATCATCCACTGTAAATAGAAATGCAGAAATTAAGATAGTTTATGCACTATAAGTTCACTTTGTTCTACACAGCATAGGCTGGTAAGATAAATTTCAAATATTCAGATATTTTAGATCAAAACAATGGGTGTGAAGGAAAAGTTCAACAGATAGGAGTAGCGAGTGAGTATATGGTGACAATAGTTTGATTGCCCGTCTGCTTGTTAAGGTAGGGTCAGTCTAGCTCCCGCTATCTCCTCCCCCTTTTCTCCACCCGGAAAGGTGACGTGTGGGACTCCGACCAAAAGGGTAATCACTTGACTCACAGCTCCCAACACAACTGTAAGTAAAAGTCTCTGCTCCTGTTTTCAATGGATATAGCTTCACTTTTAACCAATTCTAAGAACGTAGTTCATTCTGCCTTGAGTTCCAGGTTTTGCATTTCAATCTTCACCAGTCTTTTAAATGCTTTACTTATCATGGAGAATTATTTCTTAAGCAGTGTGTAACTTTTTGTCTCTTTCTAGCTTGGAATGTCAGCTCGGGTCATCTGGCAACCAAAGAAAAAGTGTTGAAGGAGACAAACTTCACATGAGTTCTGGGACGTCACTTTTTATCTTCGTACCTGATAAGTGTAGCCAACCCCAGGCAACTACCCCTCATCTTTGCAGTGGTGAAAGACCTGCGTTCCTATCATCTTGACGGATTATTCAAGGCTAGAGACTGTGGCGAACTAGTCGTTGGGTTGTCACTCAACAGCTGTAACCCCCCCCCCACATCATCAGCAATGGCTACCATTTCTACAATATGTGGTGTCAATATCAACCAGACACCCCAGTCTAACTGTACATATTAGCGTTGAATTCAATTATCATTTTTGTATTTCATTTTTCATTTCTCTTTCAAGTAGGATAATAATTTATATTTAACTGCTTTATATTTTCATTTCTAAATAATAAAGTGTTTATCTTCGTATATTTTCTTTTTCTATTCATTAATTTTCCTGAGGAGGAGCCAGCCTTGGTAATACTTACTGAAGTTGTTACAGGGCTGAGTAAGCCTTCACAATGGGTGTAAGGCTTATTTGGATTTGATTATTTATGAACAACACCATAGTTACTTTTACAAGTTTTTTCCTTGGAAAAATAGTGCATCATATCTAAAATCTTCATATAGTGTATGTATTATTTTTTTTTTTTTTCTCCAACAAGTCAGCCGTCTCCCACTGAGGCAGGGTGACCCAAAAAAGAAAGAAAATCCCCAAAAAGAAAATACTTTCATCATCATTCAACACTTTCACCACACTCGCACATTATCACTGTTTTTGCAGAGGTGTTCAGAATACAACAGTTTAGAAGCATACACATATAAAGATACACAACATATCCCTCCAAACTGCCAATATCCCAAACCCCTCCTTTAAAGTGCAGGCATTGTACTTCCCATTTCCAGGACTCAAGTCCGACTATATGAAAATAACCGGTTTCCCTGAATCCCTTCACTAAATATTACCCTGCTCACACTCCAACAGATAGTCAGGTCCCAAGTACCATTCGTCTCCATTCACTCCTATCTAACACGCTCACACACGCTTGCTGGAAGTCCAAGCCCCTTGCCCACAAAACCTCCTTTACCCCCTCCAACCCTTTCGAGGATGACCCCTACCCCGCCTTCCTTCCCCTATAGATTTATATGCTTTCCATGTCATTCTACTTTGATCCATTCTCTCTAAATGACCAAACCACCTCAACAACCCCTCTTCTGCCCTCTGACTAATACTTTTATTAACTCCACACCTTTTCCTAAATTTCCACACTCCGAATTTTCTGCATAATATTTACATCACACATTGCCCTTAAACAGGACATCTCCACTGCCTCCAACCGTCTCCTCGCTGCTGCATTACCACCCAAGCTTCACACCCATATAAGAGTGTTGGTACTACTATACTTTCATACATTCCCTTCTTTGCTCCATAGATAAACGTTTTTTGACTCCACATATACCCCAACACACCACTCACCTATTTTCCCTCATCAATTCTATGATTAACCTCATCCTTCATAAATCCATCCGCCGACACGTCAACTCCCAAGTATCTGAAAACATTCACTTCTTCCATATCCTCCTCCCCAATTTGATATCCAATTTTTCTTTATCTAAATCATTTGACACCCTCATCAAATTACTCTTTTCTATGTTCACTTTCAACTTTCTCCCTTTACACACATTCCCAAACCATCCACTAACCTTGCAATTTTTCTTTAGAATCTCCCAAAGCACATATCATAGCAAAAAGAAACTGTGCAATTCCCATTTTGAATTTGATTCCCCAAAAATTTTAATCCCCCCCTCTCCCGAACACCCTAGCATTTACTTTTTTACAACTCCATCTAAAATATTTTTAAACAACCATGGTGACATTACACACCCTTCTAAGACCTACTTTAACCCGGGAAGAGTCTCCCTCTCTTACACACCCTAACCTACCCTCCTATCCTTTAAAAAAACTTTTTAAGCATTTAATAACACCACCTTTCCATAACTTGCAACATCTCCATTTTTCTCCCTATTTATCCCTTTTTCTAAATCCATAAATGCAATAAAAACTTCCTGCCTTTACTAAAACTGCACAATTGCTTTAATAAAACACTTGACTACACACCCCTACCCACTCGAAACCTTTCCCCATCCGCAATCCAAAATTTTGTCTTACCTCTAATTCTTTCAATTATAACCCCTACCGACACTTTTCCTGGTATACCATAAACTTATTCCTCTAAAATTTTTTTGTCTCTTTTGTCCCCCTTTTCCCTTTATAAAGGGACTAACATGCCCACCCCCCGCCAATCCCTAGGGGACCTTCCCCTCTTTCATACATTTATTAAACAAAAGTACCAACCACTCCAAAACCATATCCCCCCCTCTTTTAACATTTCTGTCATGATCTCATCAGTTCCAGCTGCTTTAAACCCCCCTTTCATTTTACGTAATGCCTCACTACCTCCCCCACACTTACTTCTGCTCTTCTTCATCCCAAAAAATGGAACCCCCTGACCAGTGCATGAAATTTCTGCCTCTGTTTCTTCTAACATTTTAAAAATTCCTCAAAATATTCTCGCCATCTACCCAATACCTCCTCTCCCCATCTACAACTCCCCTACTCTGTTTTTAACTGACAAAAACCAACTTTTCCTTTGCTTTCTTAACTTTTTTTAACTCACTTTCCCAAAAATTTTCTTATTTTTTATTTAAAATTTTTTGACAGTGCCTCTCCCACTCTATAACTCTCTCCTTTTGCACTCACTCACCACTCTCTTTCCTTTCTTTTTACTCTCCATATATCTGCTCTTCTTTGTAACACTTCTGCTTTGTAAAACCTCTCATAAGCTACCTTTTTCTCTTTTATCACACCTTTACTTCATCATTCCACCAATCACTCCTCTTTCCTCCTGCCCCCACCCTCCTATAACCACAAACTTCTGCCCTACATCTAATACTGCATTTTAAAACTGTTCCAACCCTCTTCAACCCCCCACACTCATCTTTGCACTAGCCCACCTTTCTGCCAATATCGCTTATATCTCACCCGAACTTCCTCTCCCTTAGTTTATACACTTTCAACCTCCCTCTTACTTGTTGTTGCCACCTTCCTCTTTTCCCATCTACCTCTTACTCTAACTGTAGCTACAACTAAATAATGATCCAATATATCAGTTGCCCCTCTATAAACATGTACATCCTGGAGCCTACCCATCAACCTTTTATCCACCAATACATAATCTAATAAACTACCTTCATTACGTGCTACATCATACCTTGTAATATTATTTATCCTCTTTTTCATAAAATATGTATTACTTATTACCAAATCTCTTTCTACACATAGCTCAATTAAAGGCTCCCCATTTACATTTACCCCTGGCACCCCAAATTTACCTACTACTCCCTCCATAACATTTTTACCCACTTTAGCATTGAAATCCCCAACCACCATTACTCTCACACTTGATTCAAAACTCCCCACGCATTCACTCAACATTTCCCAAAATCTCTCTCTCTCCTCTACACTTATCTCTTCTCCAGGTGCGTACACGCTTATTATAACCCACTTTTCACATCCAATCTTTATTTTACTCCACATAATCCTTGAATTAATACAGTGGACCCCCGGTTAACGATATTTTTTCACTCCATAAGTATGTTCAGGTGCCAATACTGACCGAATTTATTCCCATAAGGAATATTGTGAAGTAGATTAGTCCATTTCAGACCCCCAAACATACATGTACAAACGCACTTACATAAATACACTTACATAATTGGTCGCATTCGGAGGTAATCGTTATGCGGGGGTCCACTGTACATTTATAGTCCCTCTTTTCCTGCCATAGCTTATCCTTCAACATTATTGCTACTCCTTCTTTAGCTCTAACTCTATTTGAAACCCCTGACCTAATCCCATTTATTCCTCTCCACTGAAACTCTCCCACCCCCTTCAGCTTTGTTTCACTTAAAGCCAGGACATCCAGGTTCTTCTCATTCATAACATCCACAATCATCTCTTTGTCATCATCTGCACAACATCCACGCACATTCAGACTTCCCACTTTGACAATTTTCTTCTTATTCCTTTTAGTAATCTTTACAGGAAAAGGGGTTACTAGCCCATTGTTCCCGGCATTTTAGTTGACTTTTCCAACACGCATGGCTTACGGAAGAAAGATTCTTATTCCACTTCCCCATGGATATAAAAGGAAAAGTAATAAGACCAAGAACTATTAAGATAAAATCAAAGAAAACTCAGATGAGTGTGTATAAATAAATGTGTACATGTATGTGTAGTGTGACCTAAGTGTAAGTAGAAGTAGCAAGACATACCTGTAATCTTGCATATTTATGAGACAGACAAAAGACATCAGCAATCCTACCATCATGTAAAACAATCACAGGCTTTTGTTTTACACTCACTTGGCAGGACGGTAGTACCTCCCTGGGTGATTGCTGTCTACCAACCTACTACCTATAA